TACTGATGAGGGTCCTCGTTGATGTTGATGGTTGTTTTGATGTGAGTCATGACCAGTTTTTCAAAGCATTTAGCGACTATCGGGGTGAGGGCCACTGGCCGATAGTCATTCAGACCAGTCACTGTAGAGCTTTTTGGGACTGGGATGATGGTGGCAGTCTTCAGGCAGGTGGGAACTGTCTCCAGGGTAAGTGAGGTGTTAAAGATGTCTGCCAGCACCTCACAGAGCTGATCAGCACATTCCTTCAACACTTTTCCGGGGATGTTGTCTGGGCCAGTTGCTTTGTGCGGATTAATCCTCCTGAAAGTACTCCTTACTTCTGCTGAGGTCACGCTGAGATGCTCTTCATCCGGTGGCGAGGTGAGTCTGGTGCTGGGTGGTCTGTTCGGGTCTTCAAAGCGTGCATAGAACTTGTTAAGGGCATCAGGCAGAGATGGGTCTTTGGGGCATTGTTCACTCCTTCCTTTATAATCTGTTATGCACTTAATGCCCCTCCACATGCTACGAGGGTCTTGTGAGATGAATTGACCCTCGATCCTCTTTGCATATGTGCCCTTGGCCCTCTTAATACCAGCAACCAGCTCTTTTCTTGTCCTACTCAGCTCCTCTGAGTTTCCAGACCTGAAGGCAGTGTTCCTGGCTTCCAGCAGGGTACGCACCTCTGCATTCAGCCAAGGTTTTCTGTTTGGGTAGCTTTTAACATTTCTGATAGTGGAGACGGTGTCAGTACATGTACTAATGTAACCCAGAACTGAGGATGTGTATTGGTCAAGATCAAGCGAACCTCCATTTTCAGCAGCAGCTTCTCTGAAAGCCTGCCAATCTGTTCGGTCAAAACAATCTCTCAGTATGGGGCCACTGTCCTGGATCCAGCATTTAACTTTCTTTTGTACCGGTCTGGAGCGTCTCAGCGGGGGCATGTAAGCAGGAGCCAGGAAGATTGAGATGTGGTCTGACAGTCCTAGGTGGGGGCGGGGTTCGGCTTTGTATGGATCTTTTACGTTCGTGTAAACACGGTCCAGCGTGTGGTCTCCACGTGTTGGAATCGCCACATGTTGATAAAAGCTTGGGAGACAGTCCTTTAGATTCACGTGGTTCAGTCCTTTAGATTCACGTGGTTAAAGTCTCCGGCTACCACGTAAAGAGCCTCAGGGTGTTTGCTCTGCAGCGAGCTGATGATATCATGTAACTCCTGCAGTGATTCATTAGCATTAGCGTCCGGAGGAATGTAGACGACAGAGATAAAAGTCACCGTGAACTCTCGGGGTAGATAATGTGGCCGACATTTCACTGTTATTTGCTCCAAAGCCTTCGAGCATGAGCTATTTACAACAGTACAGTTCGTGCACCAACTTTTACTCACGTAAATGCACACTCCGCCTCCCCGTGATTTCCCCGTTAGCTCGCTGCAGCGGTCCGCTCAAAAAAAAAGTCTGTCATCCAGCTGGAAGACTGTGTCCGGCGTTTCGCTTGTAATCCACGTTTCCGTGAGGCAAAGCACTGCACACTTCTTCATCTCTTCTGAGGCGCCCGCTCTCAGACGAAGTAAATCCACCTTGTTGTCCAACGAGCGGACATTCGACAGAAAGTGTGTGACAGAATGTGTGTGTAGTAGAGTGCTTATGACTGCGTGTGTAGTAAATTGCTGTATGACTGTGTATGTAGTAGAGTGTTGAATGAATGTGTGTGTAGTAGAGTGCTGTATGAATGTGTGTGTGTAGTAGAGTGCTGAATGAATGTGTGTGTGTATAGTAGAGTGCTGTATGAATGTGTGTGTAGTAGAGTGCTGTATAAATGAGTGTGTGTGTAGTAGAGTGCTGAACGAATGTGTGTGTAGTAGAGTGCTGTATGAATGTGTGTGTAGTAGAGTGCTGTATGAATGTGTGTGTAGTAGAGTGCTGTATGAATGTGTGTGTGTAGTAGAGTGCTGTATGAATGTTTGTGTGTAGTAGAGTGCTGTATGAATGTGTGTGCTGAAATTTCAAATAACTGATTCATTTGAAATTTTTCAATGTTTAAATTGTGTAAATGTAGGCTCTGCTAGCTGCAGCTGATTGCAATGATCAGTGTCTAATCTATACCGAAGCATAATTTTTATTACCCTTTATTTAATCAGGCAAATCTCACTGAGACCACAGATCTCTTTTGTAAAGGAGGCCTGAGCATAAAAATAAATAAACACATTTTTTGGACTGCATGAGGAACCCAGAGCACCTGGAGAAAACACACACAAATATGAGGAGAACATGCAAATTCCACACAGAAAGATTCCAGGTCCAACCCGGATATTAAAGCCAGGACATCCTTGATGTGACAGCAGTGTTAACCACTAAGCTGTTGTGCTGCCAAATATTCACATCAATACTCACATTTTCAGAATTATTAAAAGAGAGCAAATAATGAATTGCTACCAGAGTCAACAATAATGTATACTAAAATGCAACATGCCATGTGCAGATGTTTCCACGTTTTAGCAATTGTCCGCCGCTGCTGCAGTGAATCACAGGGTCACATGACCAGTGCACTATCATGTGTATATATATATATATATATAGGGCGCCCATGGGAGCAGATGATGGAGGTTAAGGGCCTTGCTCAAGGGTCCAGAGTGGGGCAAATGAGGGTGGAGGCAGTTGTGGGTGTTTCTCCTTTGCCACCCTCATTTTGATGTTGTTGGTCTGGGGAGTCGAACCAGTGACCTTCTAATCACTTGCCCACCTTCTCTAACCACCTACCATCAAGGATTTTATATAACACTATCATTTGAGAAAAACATGCTTTCTAATTTTTATATTGCTTAAAAGTATTTTCCTCAAATAATTGGGGTGGCTGAAGATGAATCTATGGGGGCCAAGGCCACCACTGGCCACCCCCTGGCTCAATCATTGCCGATTGCACCTGATGGTGGATAAATTTGCTAAAATTGACAAAATATTGTCTTTATTTAAATAACAAGATGAAAGAAATGTCTTACCTTGTAAAGTGCCACTCTGAGTGTCTGTCTGCAGATCAGATCCAGCTCTGGATTTTTCTTCACACCGGGGACAGGGGGAGAGTTCTGATGAAGCAGACTGGTCCCAGGTGATGCATCGTCTGCAGAACCAGTGTCCACAGCTGGTAGAGACTGGATCCTGTAGGATGTCCTGACACACAGGACAGAGGGACAGCTGTTCCTCATCACAAACATCAGCTTTGTTCCTCCCTCTGTGAAGATGAGTCTTCATCGTCACTGACAGCAACCTGGAACAACAGGGAGTGTGAATCAGATCACAGATCACTCTGGTGTTGATTGTGACTTATCCAAGACATGGCAAACCCTTTAAGTTATAAATAACAAAGCAACTGGACTTCTGTTCTGTAGTTGAGGATGTTTCTCTGCCATTCCAGGGACCTTTTTTAAATCCACAACTGGAGAACATGGAGTTCCAAGCTTTAAACTGCATGGGATGCTCTGTTCATGCAGATAAATTCACACAGATGAAACTCACCACCCAGCATCCTGAGGGTCATCAGGGTCTTCGATGGCCTGGTTCAGACAGCTTGTTTTCTATTGTTTAACATAAATGGCTTCCTTCACCCTTGTCTGTCTCTTCTGTACAGAGTAGGAACATTTTAGGATTTGTTGTTGAAGTGTATCACCTATAACCCTCTGAACTATCAGAGGCGGCTATGATGTGCAAGTATGGGAGGAGGGAGAAGGTGAAGCCACACAGATGTGATGATGATGAAGTGTGGACTCCAACTTCATCTGTCACGATTATTGAGCAACCATTGCTCCACATATGACAAGTGAATTTGTACTCTTTATCTATTCAACACCCCCCCCCCCCCAGCCATACCCCAAAACCTCACTTGGAATGTTCAGAGTTTGATTTCTTTATAGGTTTGCTCAGAATGCAAAGTCTCCTCTCTCCACTAATTTCAAGTGCATTGTTGTCATCTTGAAGCAAAGCAACGTCCATACAAGGGAGTTCAAGATGGCCGCAGGATGATAAGCCTTGTTCCACTAGGCTCCCATGTTTAAAAAAGTGCCTTTCATAATTATTTTCTTGCCGCCTCCACAATGGTTTCTTCTGAGATTGACGTTGTCACAGGATTCATCCGACGGAGCTGTAGTATGACCTTCAAATTCAAGAAATCAAAGGCTGCAAGCTCTTTGCGCACTGGGCCTAACACAGCCTCGGGCCACGGTGCTTCTGAAAAAGTTGAATCGGCTCCAACCTCACCAGGCTCTAGAGAGACCATCGAGTCCGTTCTGAAGTCAAGACATTCTGGCTTCAATAAAAACTGAAGTTTCATTGATAATTAGAATGGAGATGAAGGCGGCTCTGGCAGAGGACTTTAACTTTATTAAGAGCGAGCTCCAAGCGGTGAAGGCGGAGGTTGTTAACAGCATCATGGCTCCCAGAGCAGAAATTGGCCAGGTGAGGCTGAGTGTGAAGGAAGCTGAAAACAGGCAGTCTAAATGCTCAGACAAAGTGGAAATTCTGCGTGGTACTGTGGCAGAACTGAGGAACGAGATGGATGGGTTGAAGAGGTTTGGGACCGTGGAGGGTCATATGAGAAGAAGCAACATTAGGATCATGGGAGTTCCTGAATCATCAAAGTCAAACACCCACTCAGCCATAGAGAAGATGCTAATGGAAGCACTGCAGCTGAGCAAATCACTGCTGATCAACCGCACGCACCAGACGCCAGGCAGAGGTGGAATCGGATGATAAACCAAGAATTATCGTAGCCAGATTGCATTTTTATAGCCAGTATTATTGTAGTTTGTAGCTACAGCTACAGCTACAGCTGCAGCTACAGTGTGCACTCTCAAGATATTATTACCTGCAGTGTTCCCTCAGTGAGGACTGATCTTGGCAAAAGGGCCTTCTCCTACTCGACTCCTGTTTCC